CAAAAGCTGAAGCACTACATGATGGATGCCGCGTGTTCTGAAGACTACGGGAATCAATTATATTTTGTTCCATGCTTTGCTACATTGCGTTTGTTTAATATGACTCCTTGAACTAATATTCCTGAAGATTGAATGCAGTTACGTTCCCACCGCATTTTCATTTAGAAGTTGCTCTTCGTGAAAGATATGGTTGATAAAGACCAGTATGTGAATTCCTTTATTGCTAATTAAAATGGCAAAAGTATTTATCTCGAATATTGATTAACTTTTAACATTACAGAGAAATTTGATGATACGTTTCCTTTTTATTGATATTTTGGAGACGAAACGTTGCTTCATATCTCCGTTATAAGTTGATGACAAAGAGGAATTTCTCATTTGTTTGAAAAATTTACATATTTGTGCTTCGACCATTTTTCTTGAAATATCCTTGCTGAGCCTTCCATTCTGTTTTCACTGCTACAGTTTTCACTGTTAATTAGAATGGTTTTTCTTATTATCAAGTGTTTGAATCATTTTTTGGAAAAAGATGAATCCAATTTTCACAATACACTTCAAACTCACTCGCAGTAAATATGCGAAACTTCTAATGTTATTTTGCACTCCACTTGACATGAGTTTTTCCTTTTTTTTTTTCGCTAAGACGAAAGAACATCTTGAGAACCTCATCCGTCCTTTGGTGCAGAAAGCCTCTCCAATGCATTTGTCCTTTCGCGCTTCCATCATTTTCCATCACTGGTGGTTGACGATGAAGGATTCATCTCCTTACAGCTAACATTTCTCTACTTTTCAAATCTTCATGAAAAATTGTAATTTGTGGTGCAATTATGCGACTGTTTCGGTTACAACAATTATAAATTAATGTTCATTTATTATATGCATAAATACTGGGAAACTTATGGAAATATCAAGTTTTTTTGTTTTATTATTTTCAAGGAAGCGGTGATTTTTTGTTAGTCATAAGACTGTTTGAAAATTCATTCGGATTAAAACTAGTGCACACTCAAGTTTAAAACTTAAACGATTCCAGATGATGCAATTCACCAGAATTATTTCCTTGATGTCATAGTAATAGATTAGGACAGGAATATGTCCCCAACATGAGGATTTCGCACCTTTTGCAGATATCATATGTATTTGGAATTGTCGTTAAGAGTTCATGATTGCAATTTCTTATACTGTCGATGAGAAATATATTAAGGACTGGTAGGCGGATTGCTGAGCGCAACGTAAAGCCAGTTAGGCTTAGAATGCTGAAGTTCATTATGTGCCTGTTTATGTCTGTCTAATTTGTTGACTACGGTTTACTATACTCGATGATTGGAGATGGAAAACGGCTTTTGTTCTGCTAAATAGAATATATTTGAGAAAGAAATAAATTAGCAATGATCTAATGTGCGCCTCTAGCAATATCTAGCGGAAACAGAAGAGATAGCCAAATGTCCAGCACATGGAAGTTTAGCCTTGCATGTGACAACTACTTACTCTTGAATAGTAAAGTTAAACCCTGCGATGCTTTTTTTTATATCTCCCATCAAATGTATTGCATGTTAGGATGATGACTGTTCGATCCTGTCAAGGTACTTACATGAGAGCCATTTCAGCAATAAAATTGTCCACATTCTCCAGCGCAAATGTTTCTTGCTTATTGTTTTTTAGACTTTAATGCACCAAATTCCATTGCCTTACACGGTATTAAATTCTTTTGCCCAGCACTAAATTTCATTTTTTTTTCAAGTAATTAAAGTGAAAAAATTAATGTTAACAGGATGTCGATTTGTTCCGACAGAGATCACTGGCGGTATTGATGGCATACTGTCGTGGTAAAGTGTGGACGCAGTCACTTAAATAAGATAATTTTGTGGGGAAGGTCTTTTCTAATCACCATGACAACATACTGTTTTCTAAATATAAATTGGAAAAGAGACATCATTTTGCTGTTTGGGGTAGATCTTTCGGTATCTATCAATATCCTCAAATCACAATCTGTCATCTCTGATTTCGTTTATTAGCAGTTGTCTGTCACCATAATATTTGGCAAAATTTTTCTATATGTATCTTATTTATTTTACTTTTGATATCACCAGTGATTTTTCTTTTTTTTTTTTTTGGATTTCTAGATTCGGTAGTCCTAATCTAAGCTACCAAATAACTGGGTAGTATAGAATGGAGGGAAGCGTTCAACACTTCTGAAGGTCACAATAAAGTATAAAGTATATATTTCTTAAATTCCAGAGTTAGCTTTGCACACGATGAAATTGGAGTATTTTTAACACAGTCAGGCGTACTCATACTGGAATGACAATTTGTATCTTTCTAGTTTTTAGTCCGAATTGTGGAAAAAATCTGGTAAATTACAGTGATTTCGACTTATATAGCATATAGTTATGGTATCCGGATGATACTATGAAGACTTGTTTGTCGCTTTCTTGGGCCGGTTTTGCGGTAATTTAGAAATGGTCTCGTTGCAGAGAAATGCAACCACAGCGACGACGTCACAACGGCTGGAACTGGCCTCCATCATTTTTGCAACTGTTTCTCTGGATGACAATACCAGTGGTAGCTTTGAGTACCGCATTTTTGTTCATACCTTTGCACATATTATACGCATCTGTTGCCATATTTATTGGGACAATATGGCTTGTATTACAAATCATTGTATTGACATGCATCGATCCAGCGGCGAGCAATCTGCAGAAAGATCAAGCTCCAGCATATTTCGACGCCAGCAAGCATAAGCATGTCATCGAGAATCTCTTCTGCAATATTTGCCTAATTAATGTGTTAGCAACTTTCTATTTCTTTATGAAATCAATATACAATTTTCGCTTTTGAACTCTTTCATACCTTATAGAATAAGTCAACAAGCTTTGAAACGTACTTTCCAATCCTAAAAATGATAATATTATGGTTTCGTAGATGAATAATGATGATTGTTAAAACATTCCTCATGCTCCGTACAACTTACCGGAAAGTGTTATGAAATTAAGCACAGTGATGTATGCGCTTGTACCGATGAGTTCTTTGTTTTTAATAACTCGTACATAAGAGTGGACGACGTACAAGGACACTTGACCGTCAGCTGTTGTACACAACATTCACGTTCGTTAACTTGCTAGTACGAGTTATTTCCAATTAAAATCTTCCCAATCTATTTTACGAGCAAATTTCATAAGCCTCATTTTTGTTTGTTTCATTACCAAAACGAAAGTCAACAACGAATCATCAACTTAAAAGGAGAGAAGAATGTTTCAATAATCTCTATAGCTATGTTTACGAAAATTTTAAAGTTTCTTTT